GAATAATAGTAGAGAGAATGATTTATTTCAGCTTTTATTTCTTTCATCACATTCCCAGTGGGTCAGAAGTTTACGTACACTCAATTAGTATTTGGTAGCGTTGCCTTTAAATTGTTTAACTTGGGTCAAACATTTTGGGTAGCTTTCCACAAGCTTCCCACAATAAGTTGGGTGAATTTTGGCCCATTCCTCCTGACAGAGCTGGTGTAACTGAGTCAGGTTTGTAGGCCTCCTTGCTCGCACATGCTTTTTCAATTCTGCCCACATATTTTCTATAGGATTGACGTCAGGGCTTTGTGATGGCCACTCCAATAGCTTGACTTTGTTGTCCTTAAGCCATTTTGCACAACTTTGGAAGTATGCTTGGGGTCATTGTCCATTTGGAAGACCCATTTGTGACCAAGCTTTAACTTCCTGACTGATGTCTTGAGATGTTGCTTCAATATATCCACATAATTTTCCTTCCTCATGATGCCATCTATTTTGTGAAGTGCACCAGTCCCTCCTGCAGCAAAACACCCCCACAGCATGATGCTGCCACCCCCGTGCTTCACGGTTGGGATGGTGTTCTTCGGCTTGCAAAGCACCCCCTTTTTCCTCCAAACATAACAATGGTCATTATGGCCAAACAGTTCTATTTTTGATTAATCAGACCAGAGGACATTTCTCCAAAAAGTACGATCTTTGTCCCAATGTGAAGTTGCAAACCGTAGTCTGGCTTTTATATGGCAGTTTTGGAGCAGTGGCTTCTTCCTTGCTGAGCGGCCTTTCAGGTTATGTCAATATAGGACTCGTTTTACTGTGGATATAGATACTTTTGTACCCGTTTCTTCCAGCATCTTCACAAGGTCCTTTGCTGTTGTTCAGGGATTGATTTGCGCTTTTCGCACCAAAGTACGTTCATCTCTAGGAGACAGAACGCGTCTCCTTCCTGAGCAGTATGATGGCTGCGTGGTCCCATGGTGTTTATACTTCCGTACTATTGTTTGTACAGATGAACGTGGTACCTTCAGGCGTTTGGAAATTGCTCCCAAGGATGAACCAGACTTGTGGAGGTCTACAATTTATTTTCTGAGGTCTTGGCTGATTTCTTTTGATTTTCCCATGATGTCATGCAAAGAGGCACTGAGTTTGAAGGTAGGCCTTGAAATACATCCACAGGTACACCTCCAATTGACTCAAATGATGTCAATTAGCCTATCAGAAGCTTCTAAAGCCATGACATCATTTTCTGGAATTTTCCAAGCTGTTTAAAGGCACAGTCAACTTAGTGTATGTAGACTTCTGACCCACTGGAATTGTGATACAGTGAATTATAAGTGAAATAATCTGTCTGTAAACAATTGTTGGAAAAAATACTTGTGTCATGCACAAAGTAGATGTCCTAACCGACTTGCCAAAACTATAGTTTGTTAACAAGAAATTTGTGGAGTGGTTGAAAAATGAGTTTTAATGACTCCAACCTAAGTGTATATAAACTTCCGACTTCGACTGTATATAGAAATTCCCCTACCGACAACTACTATAATCTAAACATACTGCAAAACTCGTGTTCTGTGACGGTGATGCGAGTAACAGCTACATCTACTGTTCAAAATATGAAATAATTCACGAGTTGCTTCATTTAACTCATACAAATAAAAATATGACAAACGCACCACCATTCCACAGTGAAGTTAACATATTTTATTTCTTTAAGTGCCATTCATGCATATTGGGGATGGGGGGGGGGAAATCGACAATTCTAATAACAAGTTATTTTACAGCACTAAACCAATACAAAGAGTAGCTGTATCACCTCATTGGACAGCAAAAGTAATAAACCGTGCAATAACCAAGAGGACTAAAAGGAGAAAAAGAAAACAAATACAAGAAATGACAAAGACAAAATCAAAAACAGAAAAACAAAACAAAATATATATTATCAACATTGAAACACTGAATGTAGAACCATAGTACAGGTAAAAGGTAGTGTCACAAAAAGCCAACACATTTTCATCACATATATACAATATAGATATATACACATACGGTCTCACCCTCTGATTGGAGAATAACAAAATACTCTATTCTTTTCCCTCTTTCATGAGTAAGACCCACCCCCTGCCTTGATGCCCCGCCCCCAAGAGGAAAAAGGGATGATTGAAAATACATTTATTTACAAGAAGCACAACAACACACCAGCACTGAATAAAATAGGCCTCAATCAGCAGTACTTGTTGGCAGTTTTCTCCGTAATGTAACAAGCGCACAAGGCTTATTTTCTTTTTTCATATCATAGTAATCTCTCTGGCAAGTACATCCCCAGCAGTATAAAAACATTTTTTTAAATTGTATTTTTAAGCAAAATGTACTCGCTCGCACACAGACAGACGCACAAGCACACACAGATCTTTCCCTTCTTTTTACCTCTGATCACATCCACCCTTTCAATCTCCTCTGAGCTGTGGGTTTCCTACGAACCCTACGACTGTCCTCTAGCGTTTTCCGTCAGCGCCTTCTTCATCATTACCAGTGATGAAATGCAACATACAAAAACAATGGGCTGCCAAGACTTCCCCATCACTTTCATGTCCACATTCTTACCGTCTCCCTCTAAACACCCATCCCTTGGGTCAGTCCCAGAGTCTGCAGCACCCAAGTTGACTTTATCGAGCAGTCAAATGGCAAATTCAAAATCGCTACACTCATCTCTTCTCCATAAAGTACTCCTCCTTCACTAATGAAGATCTTAAGTGATCTTGACTTTTTAACTGAATGAGCAAATCAGACTGTGCTTTAAATGACTGAATGACTGACTGATTTTGGCCATCAAACAAAGCCTAAAACACTCAATGGGTATCCACAGGCAAGACAATGAGCCACACACAATGGTTTCAAATACAAAGAACATTTGGGAATCTAACCCAAAACCCGGTACAGGTAGCAGAAGTAAGAAATTGAAAAAAATGGTGTAAAATAAAACCCCATTTAGCCTATAAGATCAAAAATAACGGGCACTATTAATGAACTGGCTGCTAAAAGATCTGTGAAACCTTTCAGACATGCCTGGCAGTATAGGTTGCTGTGAAAAGAGCTAGCTCTAGTTCCATCCAAGCTTCCCCACTTTTCTTCTGCATCCTGTTTCAAAAGGACAATGACCGTTCTGTATCTACACATGTACACTGTCACAAGAGACATATTGGTGTCTGGGCCCAGCGGTGTTGTGATCTTACAAAACAATGTCATGATTGTTGTTTGATTACAACAACAACAACATTTTCAGCAATGGAGTAAAACAAACTCCAGCCACAGCTTTAGTTTTTCTAAGGGGCCAATAGCGGAGGAACAAAGTAAAAAGGTAAGATGAACTGTGCTACACCCAGATGAAGCTCCCATATAGGTTCAACGCAGCACCATGATGAGGGTTCAGGGCCAGTCTGATTAAGGCACCACTGAGGCACAGAGAGAACAGGAGTGTTTCCAGCACCACTAGTCTCCCATCCTCTATCTCCACTTGGCTGTTGACCAGAGCGCTCATTTGTCTGCATAAGAAACCCTGCCTACAAAATCCATATCTGCCTCTAACCTTTGCATTCATCTTTTTTTGTGTGTGCATCCGTTTTGTGCTCATTGATAGCATATGCAGATGATTGCAACAAACAACCATAGCCCTAAAATTACAATAAAACCAAACACACACACACCTCGTTCCCTTTTTTATATGGTATGACAGCATATTTCCTGCCTTGCAGTGGAAGTCTGACTGGGTCACAACCAATAACATATTGGGGAGATTGATACTGATTCTGATGATTTCAGATGTATAGCATCTGAATGAAGAACATTCCTATTGCTTGTAGTAGACCCTATGATTTAATAATTGAGTTAAATCAGTACATTTCCTGCATCATGAGAGAATAGGAAAATATCCTAGAATAGATGAAGAGACACCTACAGACGTATACGTGTACTCAAATTCATTTTGTGTATTAACTATGACCTATTCCCTTAATACACTAGTACAGGGAAATTATAATCAATCTCATTGATTGCAGGACCAGTGGAAGGATGTAGTGATAGAGAACGTATTATTCAGACAAAGGAAAAAAAGCCAGACGAAGAAAACAAATGTGATGAGGAGGTCTGGATTTCATCCACTCATTCATCCACTCATTCATCCACTCAGTCTTGTTGGAGTATTGGAGATAAAGGTATGACATTTTTGACAGAATAGACACAAAACCACAACAAATACTGCCGGTAATGTTTCTGAATGTACACAATTAGCTTTTTAAAAAATGGGCCAGGTGGGTTGGTTAAAGGACAACTGGATAGATTACTCTATGATAAAGCATTTGTAATCTTTATATGAAGCCTAGTTCAATGCAAAACACCCTGTTCATAACATAACCTCAGTTATTGTAAACCTAACCTTTCTACCAATAAACCCACTATTGGGGATCCATCGTCCACCCATAGGTGACCAACAAGCACCACATTACTGAGGCAGCCTGCGTTTTCCATAAAATAATAAAAACGAATAGAGAGAGACAATCTCATCCAAGAGGCAGCTGAGGCCTAAAGTCAACAGGAGAAGGATAACAAGTGGAACAAGTCGCTCATATCACACAACAGTTACGGAGGGAGCTGGGGGAACTTTGGAAAGCTGCTGGCTGAGGGACGAGGACTGGAGGATTTGTTTTGACATGAACGTGTGCTACTTGCCTCGTCAAGACAAGCACATAAGCCACCATTTAAACATGTCCTAGTAAATATGATTGTCTTCAAAGTAACATTTATTTTGTATGTTTCGTTTTTGTTTGTAAAAATGTCAGCACTCTGAAGTCTCTCTCCCTCTCTCCTCGGAAAATGACACCTGTTCTTCTGTTCTGTATCCCACCAGCAGCAGCAGCAGTCAGTCTCCTCGTTAGAGCGTACAGCTCAGCCTGGTTTCTTCCGCCTACTCCCACCTGCTCTGCACCTCCTGACCGCTCCTCATAGGGGCACAACATCTAACATTAGACAATAGAGTCCCAGTCAAAGTCATCCTGGATGTCATCAGCTGGCATGCGGTGCATCTGGAAGTTTCTGGGAGAGATCATGTGCTGCTGGTTCATCTGTGCATGGTGTCCTAAGAGAAGAGAGAAGGGGAGTCAGGGCATAGTACATACACACAAAGACACACATGCACTGTGCAAGCTTCATTGATTAAATGAGTAGTTGAATGGGAAAAGGACCTGTCGAGGTGTTGTTGTAGTGCTTGTAGAATGTGGAAGGATAGGTTTGATGAATACTCGGAGTGTACTGTAGAGACCATGCCCTTAACTGAGACCTAGTTTAGTGAGTAGTTGAATGGGGGCTGCCGCTGTTCTGTACCTGTCATTGTGGGGCCTGCGCTGCTCATGGGGGGCATGTGGGGGTACCCTGGGGGGCCCATCATAGACATGCTCTGTCTGGAGTCCATGTAGAGATTTCCTGTGGAGAGAAAGACAAACTCAAATATCACAATCCCAAAATAATGTATGTGCTAGCTAAAACAATCCACCTGGTCAGCAGCATTAATGCAATATACACCGAATGGACAAAATATTAAGAACACCTGCTCTTTCCATGACAGACTGACCAGGTGAATCCAGGTGAAACCTATGATCGCTAATTGATGTCACCTGTTAAATCCACTTCAATCAGTGTAGATGAAGGGGAGGAGACAGGTTAAAGAAGGATTTTTAGACCTTGAGACAATTGAGACATGGATTGTGTATATGTGCCATTCAGAGGGTGAAAGGGGAAAACCTAGTCAGCTGTACAACTGAATGCATTCAACCGAAATGTGTCTTCCATAGAATGGGCAAGACAGAAGATTGAAGTGCCTATGAACGGGGTATGGTAGTAGGTGCCAGGCACACCGGTTTGAGTGTGTCAAGAACTGAAAAACTGCTGGGTTTTTAATAATAATAATAATATGCCATTTAGCAGACGCTTTTATCCAAAGCGACTTACAGTCATGCGTGCATAAATTTTTTGTGTATGGGTGGTCCCGGGGATCGAACCCACTACCTCGGCGTTACAAGCGCCGTGCTCTTTCACGCAACAGTTTCCCCGTGTGTGTCAAGAATGGTCCACCACCCAAAGGACAACCAGCCAACTTGGACACAACTGTGGGAAGCATTGGAGTCAACATGGGCCAGCATCCCTGTGGAACGCTTTCAACACCTTGTAGTCCATGCCCCAACGAATTGAGGCTGTTCTGAGGGCAAAAGGGGGTGCAACTCAATATTAGGAAGGTGTTCCTAATGTTTTGTACACTCAGTTGACATTTACATAAAGGAAAATGTCACCAATGTCCAGTGATCTGGAGTGCTAAATGCAATAATTGTGTTAGCTGGGATGCAGGTTAGAGGTGAGGAGTCACCCACCTGTGGTGATGTGCTGGCTGGGCTTGTTGGGGTGCATGGAGCCATGGCATACGGGTACGGGTGGTGGCTGCACTGCCCCCTGTGGCTGAATGACGCCGGTGCGGGCAAAGAACTGGTTGATAGATGAGCAGAGATCTGCGATCTGTGTGGGCTCCAGGGCCCAGTTGTTCTGCTCTGCAAGTCTCATGCTCTCCTTCAGTCCTGCACGGGGTCAAACAAACGTATCATCAGCCAAGTAAAACAACAGCGACACACAGCCGCCTCAGTAGCTCACCAGTCAAACCCATAAATGTCAAAAGTGGGTGTAGATACTTTTATCTATGTTAAAAAATATGCTTTAATTACATAACTGAACTTTAGCGGTGATACTTAATTAAAACTGCCTACCTTGCAATTGTATACTGTAATTGGATCAACTCTGTGACCTGCTGAGCTACACAGTGTTTGGTAATTAAACTTGAAGGCAGTGTTCTTTATTGTAGAGCTCCTTCAAATTAAACTCTTGATTGGCAACATGTCAGCACACCAACAAAAAGAGAGCGCTCCAATGTGTCTAATGGTGCTCATCATGGGCAATCAGCCATGAAATAATTAGGATAAAATGACTCTTGTAATCATAATAAACAGCTTTTAAAATGTTGGTGAAAAGAATACAGGTAAGACACATTGCAAAAACAAGCAGCCTGTATAGTTAGCCTATTTCTTGAGGCTTAAATTGGATGTGTCAATGCGATGCATTTACATAATCCTTCATGGCCACACCTTGAAAAGGTGAAAGGTCGACATCAGCCCAGTTATAACTGCTGGCAATACGGCAGCTCTCTTTCAGTGCGTCCAGATTTGGGTACCAGTCAGAGGGCAGACCTGTAAACACAGATGGAGCACAGATTGGTTTTTAGAGGCTGGAGGAGTCCATCAGTCGCTACATTTCCTGCAACGGTACTCTACTTTGGCCACTGGTAGGAGCCAGTTCCCTCTGAAAAGGTTGCTGTGCTCCAGAGGTACTGTCTGCTGTATGGATGCAGCATTTGCTTTGTTCTCATTACAGCAAACAGCATAAATCAGATGGTGATTTACTGTCCGCAGGTCTTGGTACTTATACAGAACAAATGTCCAGCTGTGTTTCAGAGGGTTATCCCTGAGTGTATCTGAATGTGTGTGTGTGAGAGACATCGGTGTGGAAGAGAGAGGCAGGTCTTACCCGTGTTGCAGGCCATCTGTTGCTGGGCAGGATGAGGCTGGTGAGCCAGGCTTTGATGCTGCTGCTGGGAGGGGTGCTGGCAGTGCTGCTGTGCGTGTTGGGAGGGGTGCGGCGTGTGCTGCTGCGGGTGCTGGGCGTGCTGCGATGGGTGTGGACAATGCTGGGAGTGTGCAGGGTGATGGGGGTGCTGTGGGTGTTGGTGTTGGTTGTGTTGGGTGTGCTGGGCGTGTTGGTTGTGTGGGCCGTGCTGGGAGAGGTGCTGTGTGTGGGGCGAGCCATGGCCCGGGTGGGAGTTCTGGCCCGGGAGCTGGGGAGGGTGGGACAGGGGCACCTGGCCACCGCTGCTGGAGTGGTTGTTTGTCAGGCTGTTCTGGGTGCTAATGGTGCCACTGGGGGAGTGCTGATAGGAGCAGGAGGTGTGGGTCTGCTGGGATGACTCCGTTGGCATGCCCATCAAACCTGGAAGTCCATATAGACACACACAAAACACAGCAATTATTATTGCTCTCTGCTTAGAGAATTGAATCATTATTTGATATAAACATACAATGTAACATAAACTAATGATACATTGAGACGACACAGCTGCCATTTTGAACGAGCTAAAGGAATGACTCAGCAGCACTAGAGAGCCTGAGCTTTTCTTCTTTTGCACCCTGCGTTTCTTTTGACCATTTTCATTGTGCGGCAGCACTATTTTCTAAACAAGCACGACTGGAGCGCGAACATCTGCACACCCAACAGCAATCATGTCTAGGGGAGCGGTTCTTAAGGCCTTTCCATTTCCATTTCAGTCTATTAGAGTCTTTTAGAGCTGACTCCAGCCCTTCGCCACTGCCCCAGAACACTTACTGCAGGGTATCTCATCGGCACGACTTACAGGAGCAATTACATTTAAAGTGCCTTGCTCAAAGGCACATTGGCCGATTTTTCACCTAGTCGGCTTGGAGATTAGAACCAGCTACCCTTAGATTACTGGTCCAACGCTCTTAACCACTAGGCTAACCGCTAGGCTACCGGCTTTGGCACAGTAAACCTATTTCACTGGAGTGCTTTTAGAGTTGACACCAGCCCCTCGCCACTGCCCCAGAACACTTACTGCAGGGGTGACAAAGGTGGATCTCTTATCGGCACAGAAAGCCCATTGTCCAACCAGGGAAATACAGAAAGCAATTAGCGCTCAGCCCCAGAATAATAATGCGAGCTCATTACCTATTATCAAAGCTGGTGAATTAGCTCACTGTCTACAGCACCAGGGTGTGAAATGCTCTCGCTCGCTTATTTACACTTTTTAATTGCAAGGGCTTGTCTGACTAAGAGATTTCACTTTTATGCACATAAAAAGGGAACAACTTTAAGCTAATGAAACATAGATGATAGATTAAAGGAGAGGAACACTGACAACATTAGCATGAAATGCATTAGATTTGTGAAAGTAGGTTATACAAGGAAAAGCATCCTAAAGATATACTAGATTACAGCCAGAGTAAGCATTTACATGTTTCATTCCATATAATAAATAAAGTCTATGGCATTATTCTGCTACGAACTTGCCAACTCTCTTTTATGCTTAGCATTGGGAATGAGGCCAGAGGCTTTTGCATGTGGCTTTAGCACACAGTAGACCATGAAAATACCCATATAGATTTGCACTACGGCTACTGTCTATTGAATAACTCATCGAAATCACTAAACTTAATTAGCGCCAATTCCACTCTCCTTTGACCAGCTGTTTGGTGCAAAACAATAGCCATAGAATGATCCTGGCATCTTCTGCACGAGTTTACTAACACTCCCCGGTATGTGTCATCCTGCCCTCGTGACGAGCACTCACCCTGTTGGCTGAAGGACTGCCCAAAGACAGACTTGTAAAGGCTGCGGAAGGAGGCACTGAGATCTTCAAAGTCAGAGAAGAGGAGCTGCTTGTCCCTCTCTGGCATGTTGTACTGGGGCTGGAGGGGCTGCTGGAGGGGCTGCTGGAGGCTCATCGACTGAGACACCGGCTCTGGGTGGTTAGTCACCTGGGGATGGAGGAGGAGAGAGAGAAGGAGAGGAGTAGAAATAGAGGAGAGATAATTAGAGATTTTGGAGCAATGAATTAAATCAAATCTACTCTTCTTAGCACCTAACACCGACAGCTGTGCTCTATCATTCAGTACAACATAGCGGTACACACCTCAGCCTAACATACTAACTACAATACGAACCTATTACCACAGTCAAACACAGACTACAACTTTAACTGGTGAAGAGCACCGACTACACCATTGAACAGTGACACTTGACTGGGAAACATACGTCTCAGAGACATCAAAGGATATCTGCACATGGATCTGCTGGAGAACAAGAGAGCCACAAACATTTCATGCAAAACATTTTTCTACACTGAACAAAAATAAATGCAACATGTAAAGTGTTGGTCCCATGTTGCATGAGCTAAAAGAAAAGATCCCAGAAATGTTCCATACGCACAAATTTCTTAACATTCCTGTTAGTGAACATTTCTCCTTTGCCCAGATAATCCATCCACCTGACAGGTGTGGCATATTAAGAAGCTGATTAAACAGCATGATCATTACACAGGTGAACCTTGTGCTGGGGACAATAAAAGGTCACTAAAATGTGCAGTTGTGTCACACAACACAATGCCACAGATGTCTCAAGTTTTGAAGTAGCGTGCAATTGGCATGCTGACTGCAGGTCAATCAGAATTGAATGTTCATTTCTATACCATAATGTAGTTTTAGAAAATTTGGCAGTACGTCCAACCGGTCTCACAACCACGCCAGCCCAGGACCTCCACTTCCGGCTTCTTCACCTGCAGGATCGTCAGAGACCAGCCACCCAGACAGCTGATGAAACTGAGGAGTATTTCGGTCTGTAATAAAGCCCTTTTGTGGGGAAAAACTCCATTCTGATTGGCTGGCCCCAGTGGCTGGGCCTGGCTCCCAAGTGGGTAGGCCTATGCCCTCCCAGGCCCACCAATGGCTGCGCCCTTTCCCAGTCATGTGAAATCCATAGATTAGGGCCTAATGAATTTATTTCAATTGACTGATTTCTTTATATGAACTGTAACTCAGTAAAATCATAGAAATTGTTGCATAATGCATTTATATTTTTGTTAAGTATATTTTTTGTGCAACAGATCTAGGCCTATATTTTAGTCCAGTCCACTAACCTAATCGAACTTCTAAGAACCCATAATGAACATGTATAAGCAGCTAAATATCTGGTGTGTACAGTGGTCACTCCTCAAACTAAACATCAACTATATGCCTTTGACTGTCTTGAACGCTGCTTGCAGCCTTACCTCAAAAAGTATTAAAAGTGTAACCAAAATCAACACAAAGCCAATACAATAGATGGCCTGCAAAATGTATTTAAAACACAATCAACACCAAAGCCTTGTACAAATAACCAATCATTTTACCCATTTACAGTACTGTGTGATGGTCGATTTTTATCCACTGGTGTATGAGAGGGCAGGCAATGATGCCCTCTAGCAAGACGGTAATAAGGTTTGTGATGAGAAAAACACTAATATGGAGCCTTCATTATTCTATAACTGAGGAGGTACCTTGCATTTACATGAAGTAGAATAGACGTTTAAGAACAGTATATATTCTTTATCTCAGCATCACAGGGGTAGCTTTCAAGCCATACCAGGTTTAACATGTGAAGGACACTAATAATGGAGCTATCACTTCAAGGAGTCTTGCTGTTAGAGTACATATTCTTTACCACAGCAAACGGCTTTGCAGACGTACTGGTGGGCTACAGTATAGATAACCTTGCTATAGAATCCAGTCTGAGTCTGCCTGGCTGAAGTGAGGCAGTAATAAACAGAGTCTGCTCTCAGCAGCACTGGAGGAACATCCATCAGTCTGAACGGATCGATGTAGAGAGCCTGGAGCAAATAGCACCCTGGGAATCAGGAGGACCACACCAAAGAAGGGGGCATCTCTGGTGGGAGGACATCACAGGCAACAGCTCTCTCGGTCTGCTCTCCAAGCGCGTGTACAGCTCTCACTTTCCCTTAATCCCTCCTGATATTCTGCGCTAGCGCACCAACCCCACAACCCCTTTAGTCTCTCACTGTCTACAGCTCTTCTGAAGGGAAACTCCTGGGTCTCTGATTATATGAGATGTACGGCAAGTAACTGGTCTGGGGCACTGCCCTCAGAGTAGAGCTGATTCACTGTGTTTAATGTCCAGGGTTTCAGCTATCTACTGTGATAAGAGATCGGCATGCACAGCCTAAATTACTGTATGTCTAACTGTGATACAGTGACAGTTATATGTGGTGCTTGTTTGGTCTTAGCTGATGTATAGCTGGGGCACTGTGGTTAGAGATTGACACACTAACGTTGAAAAGTTTGGGGTCACTTAGAAATGTCCTCGTTTTTGAAAGAAAAGCAATTTTTTTGTCCATTAAAATAACATCCAATTGATCAGAAATACAGTGTAGACGTTGTTAATGTTGTAAATGGCTATTGTAGCTGGAAACGGTTGATTTTTAATGGAATATCTACATAGGCGTACAGAGGCCCATTATCAGCAACCATCAGTCCTGTGTTCCAATGGCACGTTGTGTTTGCTAATCCAAGTTTATCATTTTAAAAGGCTAATTGATCATTAGAAAACCCTTTTGCAATTATGTTAGCACAGCTGAAAACTGTTGTGTTGATTAAAGAAGCAATAAAACTGAGACTAGTTGAGTATCTGGAGCATCAGCAATTGTGGGTTCGATTACAGGCTCAAAACGTCCAGAAACAAATAACTTTCTTCTGAAACTCGTCAGTCTATTCTTGTTCTGAGAAATGAAGGCTATTCCATGCGAGAAATTGCCAAGAAACTGAAGATCTCGTACAACACTGTGTACTACTCCCTTCACAGAACAGCGCAAACTGGCTCTAACCAAAATAGAAAGAGGCGTGGGAGGCCCCGGTGCACAACTGAGCAAGAGGACAAATACATAGAGTGTCTAGTTTGAGAAACAGACGCCTCACAGGTCCTCAACTGGCAGCTTCATTAAATAGTACCCGCAAAACACCAGTCTCAACGTCAACAGTGAAGCGGCAACTCCGGGATGCTGACCTTCTAGGCAGAGTTGCAAAGAAATAGCCATATCTCAGACTACCTAGAAGGTCAGCATCCCGGAGTCGCCTCTTCACTGTTGAGGTTGAGACTGGTGTTTACATTATCATTTACACACACTTTCTATGTGGTTTTAGTCATTTCAGTTCAGACTGGAGTATGTTTGATAAAAAATAAATAACATGTTTATTTTTTTACTCAGACACTCGCGTCCCATTCAAAACCTCCTGCGACCCAATCGCTGTTCTAAATGTTGTCTAACTGGGATCCTGTAGTTGTTGTTTGTGTTGCTTGGTCTTAGCAGTGTGTACAGCTGTAACACTGTGGTTAGAGGCTGCAGTGTGAGGTCTTACCGGTGTGTAGCTGTGCACGCTGCTCACACTGTTCAGATTGACGGAGGCCAGACTCTGGTCAGACAGGCTGTTGTTAAGGCTGCTTCTTGGGCTGTCACTCCCATCCTGGTCTGGGTTGTATAATGCCACCTGAAATAAGACACTGTGTTAGCTTTTCTTGCATACCGCACATCACACAACCTAGACCAACAGGGTTCCACGAAGACTGCATGCCATATACAATCATTATCATTCTGATGGTGAGTCACCATTTCCCCAAATAATGGGTGGGGATGGGAAAAATGCATGCAAATCAGTTTTGTTCCATAACAAACTGAATTCTGTTTGTGTGCATGTGGGTATGTGTCTAGGAATTCAATACCTGTGCAAAGCATGTGTGTACTGATGTTATCAGAGTGCTTTCTTTGAACTAAGAGGGTGGCTGGCCAGGAACATCTTTTCTGAAGCTCCACAGCCACCCGAGCCACAGGGGCTCCTTCTGAATAAGTGTCCAGGTAAAGGCTCTTCTCTCTGGGTAGGTAAGGGTGGACGTCCCCCTTTTTACTAAAGGTCATTGTACTGGCCATGTCAGACCCATCTGCTCACAGAGCGCAAATCGGTTTGGGACAACAAAGGCCTTCAATGCAACCGAGACCCTGACCTTTCAATAAAGCAACGCAAGCAGCCAGAGCACTGCAACAGGACCATCTTCATTATTATCATCTGAAAAGGTTTTGCTAAAGAAAAAAATGGTGTATTGTGGTGTCACACAACAGACTGCTATTAAGTAGCACTGTTGGTAGAAACAATCTGGCGATGAATATAATGAGAACCGTTTTTTCCATTGTGTGAAACTGAAAGGATGTGTGGAATGGCAGCTATGCTAGCAATACGACTGGCTGGTGTGTGTGACAGTGCAGGTATTGGCAGCAGCACTAACAGCCTGGATGGTGCTGGTGATGTGTCTCAGTCTGACAGTCTGGCCGTGTCCGTCCAGGGCTCTCTGCTCATCAGGCTGAGTGGCTGTGGCCCTGCCTGCGCCCTCTCTCCCTCTCAGTCTAACACACAGCAGCAGCAGGACATGAAGGCTGCTCTGCTTTCTGAGGCAGAGGGAAGTCTTGGCCTGACAGCCCTCCAGACCTGGGCTCAAATAGTACTTGTGCTTGATTGAGCTTGCCTGACACAATGGAACCAACGGAATAGTCACAAAAGTGAAAACCCGGCATCTCTGTCAAACCAGGCAAGCTTAATCATCCGCTCAGCGTTTGAAAGAAAACATACCATTTGAACCCAGATCTGGCTGCTATCCTCTGTTACTGTTATATAGGCACTCTTAGTACAGACACTCCGACTAGTGCTGAGCAAGTAACCATACAAATTAAAGGTCGGTTCAATTACTTGAATTCCATAGTAGTTAATTACCACGTTTCTGCGCTGAACTAGGTCAAATATTTGCCTAATGAAAACTACAACTCCCTTCAGCCCAGCATCCCCCATAGTTCGTTATTTTTCTCTAGAGAGAAATCGAATCATTCACGAGAGAAATTTAGTCAAGAACTATGTGGGACGCTGGGCTGAAGGGAGTTGTAGTTTTCATTAGGCAAATATTCGACCTAGTTCAGAGCAGAAACTTGGTAATTAACTACAATGAACAGAATCCATTGCGCCTGTTGTTCTTCCCGGCTAGGACAGAGACGGCTAGCCTACACAGACCGCATGAGATAAGAATTAACACAACACAATGACGAGGGGGATAGAGACAGTTCTTGAGGTAGCTCTACCCGATTGATAGTTGGAGTAGTTGCTAATAAGCAGTCTTGAAAGTATGCCTTATATATTTTGAAGAACTAGTAAAATTATTTTGTCAGACAGCTCTGCAGCATACTTAAGCAGCTACTAGCTAGCAACTAGCCTGGCTAAATAGGATGACTCAAAGACAGTACAGTATGGGGAGCAGAGAGATAACGTTAGATGGTTGTCTGGCTGGCTGCCTGTTACTGCCTGAGCAGAGATGAGATGGCTTTAAAGAATGAAAAATAATAAAGCCATCAAATAAAAACCAGGTAATAAATAATATGAAATATGTTATTATTTCATAGTAATGTCCTATTTTTCTATTGATGTCTACCCAATGTGGACCTGACAGATACAATTGAATGTTTTCAATGTTTTGGCAATTCAATGTTATTTTCAGGTTTGGAATTGCCACCAAAATAATTTTAATGTCATTATTTCATAATGCATTTAATGTTTAAAAATAATCAAAACTGAAATCTGTGATTATTTTTGTATAACCAAACTCGTCCTCAAAAAGCACTAATCCCTCAGCACTAACCTCGACACACAGCACTCTCCCTCAGTACTGTCTGTCATTGTGGGCTCTCACTCAGCCAGAGCATGACACAAAAATGTTGTGCTTTAATAACAGTCAGAGGAGAGAGTGTTGGATCCAGTGTTGTAGTGATTATGTGGTGGGGGAAGGGGATGAAAGAGAAGCTAATTAGTCAACTCTAGCCTTCCACCACTCAGTGTGGGCTTGGCTCCAGTGTTCATTAGCATGAAGGGGGAAATCAATGAACGGCTAAGACTAGGGCTTAGGCACGTCTGAGAATCAGCACTACAATGATAATCAAACAGCGTGCTGCAGAAATATAAATGTTACGTGTAATGAAGTCATAAAAGAGGGTTTTAGCCTTAAGTCACAAATCTATTTTTACTCCCCTCATCCATAAAGTGTGATGATTTCCAAACCTCACTGCTCTGTGGTTTACACAGACCCCAGAGTCAAGACGCCCACTCGAGCAAGCCACAGTCTCTCACACACGCAAAGTCATGCAGTCCCACAAAGACAGGCATGCTCACACAGGCAGGAGCTCCCGCCACAGTAAATCCTGATGCGTGTTTGGTGCTAGCAACTAGCAGGAGTTAGTGTGTGTTCTATTCTTAGCAGTAAATTAAGTAAAAAGCCAGGTGTGTCTTTTACATAAAACTAATCTGGAGCATGAGACATGGATTATGAAATCAAAGCGAGATTCACCCAGGTGTCTCTAACAATGCCTGCCAGTGTTCAGCAGAATCCCTGCTCACGGGATTTAAGAGGGATAAAGAGAAGCAAAGCACAGGACAAGACGTCTCCCTCAGTAAACACACACTTCTTCCTGCAATCCCCCTTCCTTTATCACACTCTAGTGTCAGACTTCTGTCTCATTCACGCCACTGCAAACAGCTACCTCAGATTAGACTAGAGAAAGAAATAAAACAACGTGTTTGTGTGAGAGAGAGGGAATGAGAAAGAAAAAGGGAGGGAGACTTGAGGCATGTCTAACAGACACTGGTTCTGTAGTCCTGACCCAGCATCCCATTGGCCTCTCAGAGAAGGCGGGAACATGAGAGACAGAGAGAGAGATTGAATTGAGAGAAAATAGAGAGCAAGAAAGAGGGAGAGAGAAAGGAGGGAATTCCTGTGGTTTGGCACAGTGCACCAAAAGAGGCGTGGCCAGTTGTATGTTTACGGTGTAACACAGTGAAAAACAAGCTCTCTCTCAGGAGTAGGGCTGAGATCTGTTGCTGCTTCTCCACTTTGCTTTATCATAGCAACAGTTACAATCAGGAGAACAAAAGACACTCATAATAACATCCTCTCTCACACACACAGCCCCGCTATAACCTTGCCTGAAGCAGGCATGTTCAGAATTTTTTGGGATTTTGTTTTCCATGATTCTTATATGTGAAATCAAACTGTTCTTAATATTCTGTGGAGGATGTCTGTGTTAAATGACCAACTGAGGTTTGAAACCTCAAATTTTCCCAGCAAATCAATGGCAAGTGATTATTTGTTGAGATGAGAGCAGGAAAGACAGAAGTGTGTGTTTACAGGGGCTCCTCCTTAGCCCATCTCACACGCCAAAGAAAGGCCTCCTATCGAAAGGGCAGCCACTTACAAAACAACACACACACGGTCAGACACGCGGTTCTATCCTCGTGGGGCACTAAAATTGATTTCCATTCTAAATCCTATTTTCCCTAAGCCCTAACACTAACCCCTAACCTAACCTCAAAATAGCCTTTGTCCTCGTCGGGACGTGGGAAATGTCCCAACGAGGGAGAATTTTCCTTGTTTTACTATCCTTGTGGGGACTTTTAGGGATTTCAGGTCCCCACGAGGACAGAAGAGCAAGACCACACCCTCTTCTTCTCACACTCAACTACTCTACCCAAGAGCACACCCCCTCTTCTTCTCACACTCAACTACTCTACCCCAGAGCACATCCCCTCTTCTTCTCACACTCAACTACTCTACCCCAGAGCACACCCCCTCTTCTTCTCACACTCAACTACTCTACCCCAGACCACATCCCCTCTTCTTCTCACACTCAACTACTCTACCCCAGAGCACATCCCCTCTTCTTCTCACACTCAACTACTCTACCCCAGAGCACACCCCCTCTTCTTCTCACACTCAACTACTCTACCCCAGAGCACATCCCCTCTTCTTCTCACACTCAACTACTCTACCCCAGCCACACCCCCTCTTCTTCTCACACTCAACTACTCTACCCCAGAGCACATCCCCTCTTCTTCTCACACTCAACTACTCTACCCCAGAGCACATCCCCTCTTCTTCTCACACTCAACTACTCTACCCCAGAGCACACCCCCTCTTCTTCTCACACTCAACTACTCTACCCCAGACCACACCCCCTCTTCTTCTCACACTCAACTACTCTACCCCAGAGCACACCCCCTCTTCTTCTCACACTCAACTACCTTTATTTAACCAGGTAAGCCAGTTGAGAACAAGTTGGCCAAGATAAAGCAAAGCAGTGCGATAAAAACAACACAGAGTTACATATGGGGTAAAACAAAACATAAAGTCAAAAATACAACAGAAAATATATATACAGTGTGTGCAAATGTAGAAAGTTATGGAGGTAAGGCAATAAATAGGCTATAGTGCAAAATAATTTCAATTAGTATTAACACTGGAATGATAGATGTGCAAGAGATGATGTGCAAATAGAGATACTGGGGTGCAAAAGGTTAAAAAGCCTATTTAAATTTCAGAGTGAACAGCGCATTCAAAGCCAACAGCTTGCGGTCCCTGTGGTTTCTCCCGCTCTTTCTCTGCAGTGAGGGTTATATGGCAACAGACATCCACACACAGAGTAATGTCTTGCCTGGCTACCCAGACTCCTCCAGCCAAACGCTACGGCACGCCCGCGGGCGTTAGTTTCTTCTCCGCAGCGAATCTGGATCTGAGTACTTGCCTGACCCTTCACCGAATGTGAACACATTCGGGGCCGTCTGATTGGTCCAGAACACACATGGGTAAAGCGGCGGTTTCAACATTCGTCATTGGCTTTGTTAGAGACGATCAAATCGATGATGACTTTGTTTTGTACAACAGCCCTCGTCACCACAGACGACTTCAGTGATGGCAGTCTCAGACTAAAGTACACTTCCGGTCAAAAGTTTTAGAACACCTACTCATTCCAGGGTTTTACTTTATTTTTATTATTTTCTACATTGTACAATAATAGTGAAGACATCAAAACTATGAAATAACACATATGGAATCATGTAGTAACCAAAAAAAGTGTTAAACAAATCAAAATATTTTATATTTGAGATTCTTCAAATGCCAATAGTGTGCAAAGCTGTCATCAAGAGAAAGGGTGGCTATTTGAAGAATCTCAAATATAAAACATATTTTGATTTGTTTAACACTTTTTTGGTTCCTACATGATTCCATATGTGTTATGTCATAGTTTTGATGTCTTCACTATTATTCTACAATGTAGAAAATAGTAAAAATAAAGAAAAACCCTGGAATGAGTAGGTGTTCTAAAACATTTGACTGGTAGTGTATGTAGCGAACAACAGAGCAGCGGAACAATTTAGTGTGAGTCGTCAGGCTAGGCAATGTCCCCAACCACATCTCATGGACATACAAGAAAAGGACTGGGCATCAACATCCATTAACTTTCAGGTGTGTGTAGAGTAGTGTTGTCACGATACCATAATTTTGACATCGATACTGATACCAGGTTTAGTATCACGATACTCAATACCATCACGATAACAAAACGATACCACAGCAATAAAAGGCATATTAGCCAAAGTCACAGAATGGCACTTGATACAGACAGAAACTCAGCTACTGTACTGTTCAATCTTTGGGCATCTTTTCAGTTCAATATCATTACATTAGAATTGTATTACGTCAACATTTTTCAAAACGAATCAATTATACATAATCAATTTGACTTTGTTTTTGCAATTCTATACTGAACAAAAATATAAAAGTCAACATGTAAAGTGTTGGTCCCATTATTCATGAGGTGAAATAAAAGATCCCAGAAATGTTGCTTAGCACAAAAAGCTAATTTCTCTCAAATTTGTTGCACAAATTTGTTTACGTCCCTATTAGTGAGCATTTCTCTGTTGCCAAGATAATCCATCCACCTGACAGGTGTGGCATATCAAGAAGCTGATTAAACAGCATGATCATTACACAGGTATGCCCAGTCATGTGAAATCCATAGATTAGGGCCTAATTAATTTATTTCAATTGACTGAATTCCTTATATGAACTGTAACTCAGTAAAATCGTTGAAATTGTCGCATGTTGCGCTTATATATTTGTCAGGTGGATGGATTATCTTGGCAAAGGAGAAATGCTCACTAACAGGGATGTAAACATATTTGTGCACAAAATTTATATTTTTGTTCAGTATATAAAGGTGCACGCCATCTCTTTAACCAGTAATGACATCATTCACGAGGCAAGAAGAGGGCAGCCCGTCAGAGATATATTCACACACAGAGTCAGTTCGCTGAGGCAATAGATAATCTTTGGGAGAGACGTGAGAGATTGATTAAGTGATTTAATAAGGTTTTGGTGGCAATAAGCTTTGAAATAAGCATATTTTGCCTTATGGTTTGCACATTATCACAAACAAAGTACTAGGGGTAGTGAATTGATGTTGGCTTCAGCTGTAAGCTACCGGTATCTCCTTGCATTGTAAAGTGTTCTAGCCTGTATGTACATTGTTTTGAGAACAGTAATGAACAGTTTCAACATTTCTACATGCCGTGTCACATTATTCAGGTGGGTTAACTTCTGTGCAGCATGAGTTGGGAGCTAACATGATGCAGTCCAGACTCCCAGTGCAGGCTAAGTGGAGCAGGCACGGTGGGGAGCTAACATGATGCAGTCCAGACTCCCAGTGCAGGCTAAGTGGAGCAGGCATGGTGGGGAGCTAACATGATGCAGTCCAGACTCCCAGTGCAGGCTAAGTGGAGCAGGCATGGTGGGGAGCTAACATGATACAGTCCAGACTCCCAGTGCAGGCTAAGTGGAGCAGGCACGGTGGGGAGCTAACATGATACAGTCCAGACTCCCAGTGCAGGCTAAGTGGAGCAGGCATGGTGGGGAGCTAACATGATACAGTCCAGACTCCCAGTGCAGGCTAAGTGGAGCAGGCACGGTGGGGAGCTAACATGATACAGTCCAGACTCCCAGTGCAGGCTAAGTGGAGCAGGCACGGTGGGGAGCTAACATGATACAGTCCAGACTCCCAGTGCAGGCTAAGTGGAGCAGGCACGGTGGGGAGCTAACATGATACAGTCCAGACTCCCAGTGCAGGCTAAGTGGAGCAGGCACGGTGGGGAGCTAACATGATGCAGTCCAGACTCCCAGTGCAGGCTATACAGTGCTTCTTGTGCTGCAGTGTGTTACAGTGTGAGATGTACTGTAGAGGGGGTGTGTGTGTATCCTGGTTGAGTGCTGCTCTCAGTGAGGAACAAGCTGTGGGTGGGTGGGCAAAGGGAGGAAGGAGGGGTCAGGGTGGTGCAGTGTGTGCAGGTGCATGCTGGGTAGTTACCTTGTTAGTCACAGTGTTGATTGCCAGAGTTGGAGAGGCACTTCCAGAGATCATACAGTCCATTCCCAAAGACTCTGACTCCAGGCTGTACGGTGTGGAAGCCTGGGGGAGGGAGACAAAACATTATTACTTTTAGCTAATTATCAAATATAGGACCACTAAAATATACACTCCTAACTAATTCTAAGAATAATACAGGACCTCAAGCCATATGTGCCAAGGTAAAGGTTTTAACACTCATATGTTGCCGTATTTGTTGGGAAGATAGTTTTCCTTTCAGGAAAGAGGGAGGGATGCAGATCTCTATTATGTAAAATACACCAGGACCATTTATAAATAACAAAAGAAGCAACACCTTTATTTAGGTCACATTTGAAATATTTCCTGAGGAGCTGAAGAGAAGTGCACAGCCCCCATTGCTCCCCGCGAGGCGCTCCGTCGGGAGAGATAACACCACCGCGCCTGTCTCCCAAAACTGCTTACTGTAAGAGGATTGGCTGGCAACAATACCATTTTTAATTCATGATAAACATAAATGAGATTTAACAAAGTCACCATTTTCTAAATGTCTGAGACTTAATGGAATGCCTTGTAGGCCGACAGTGACATCTGTAGTAAGGGAGGATGGTGTGCATGTCATACTAACAACATACATGCACAAACTTGAGGGCGGGTGAATAGTGTGAATACTGTGTATTTGTTTTGCTTTAGAATTACACACCAATGACTATATTTAAACTCATTTACACACACATACAGGTGTATGTACTGTATAGAATAGGATGTGCATCTCTCCATCCCGCTCCCCATCTTAAAACCACACACGTGGGTGGTTAACTGAGTGAGTGGGTTTGCCTTTTCCGCTTTGTGTCTTTGGGTTTCAACAGAAGCCCCCCTGTATGTCTTGTGGCCTGTGGTGGGCCACACAGGGGAGGCCAGACTGCAGTCTGCAGCAGCCAGGGAGAGATGGATGGATGGATGCCTCAGAGCCAGGTCAATCTGGGCAGTTGACTAAACCAGTGAGGCTGTGCATTACACTGGACCAGACTCATACATAATTAAAGACAAAAGCTCCCGCTCAGAAAGAACAGCCAGCGCACATTAATTGATGTTTGTTAAAAAAATTACTGCAGAATGCAATGTATGTAAGTAACGGCAGCCTGGGGCATAGTTTATTAATAAGGACCCTGCTAAAAGACAAGGCTGAGCCACATCGAGAGGCAGTTACATAAAGGGAGGAGATAAACTCCTACTGTGTGTGTGTGTGAGAGTATACAGGAGAGAGAGACAAAGAGGATGAGCCAAAGAAGCGATCAGAGAGAGAGAGAGAGAGAGAGAGAGAGAGAGAGAGAGCGAGAGCGAGAGAGAGAGCGAGAGCGAGAGCGAGAGAGAGAGCGAGAGAGCGAGAGAGCGAGAGAGATTGAACAAGAAACAAAAGAGCTGTATGTGAAGACTTTGTATGATATGGTTACCCCATTTTCCACATGAGCCCACTCATCATTCCCGGTGTTGGCATGGGTTAAGAGAGGGTATCTACATGTGTAAAACACAAAAGTTTCAGGGGAGGATGTGGTGTCTCTGGAGGACTCACCCGCTCTCCGGACCGCGGCCTCTTTTTTGGCCGTGTGGGCAGGGCGTCCTCCTTTGGGTTGGTGTCGATGGCCCAGTAGGAGCCCTGTGGGGAGAGGAGGGACCACAGTAAAGAACGACACAGAAAAGACAATGCCCTGCCTGGCCTGGTACCACAGGGACGTTATCTCCAGACAAAGGGTAAAGGAATCAGAGTCTTTTCTTTGGGACTGACACATTAGGGCTTTAACAAATGCTATTAAAACACTATCCATACTCCAAAAAGAATCAACAGTGGTGTGTAATAAGTGTGTGTGTGTGTGTGTGGCTTTGGTTGTAATGGGAGGGAGCTGTGTTTTGTGGTGAGGCTTCTCCTTGTCTATGGTGCTCCTTAGTTAGAGACAGCGGCTGGTGAAATGCTAAGCCCCTCCTGAAGCAGTGCTTCCTCAGCCTCAGTGTAGGTAGCCAACTGTAGCTGGACTGGGAGCTGGAGAAACGTGTTGGGTTTCTGCCCAGGTCTGAGCCCGGCTAATCAAGGAGGGAATAGACCTGCTGGCTCTGGGGCTGCAGCTCCACACTCCAGCTGCATTATTTAGCTCTGCATTCGACCCCATTTAATTTATTTTTCAATGGTGTTCCTCCCTGAAGCCACAAGCAACACATGATTTTAAATATTTTATATTAATCCTGATAAGATCTCAATTGTCAAGGGAAAGTGAGATCAGGACCTTTAAAATGACTTCCTAAGCAGAGAGAATAATTGATATTCTTTGAGAAATTGTCAGTCTGGACAACAGGAGAGGAGAGGTACGGTTGCAACAACCTGTGTCTAAGGTAGTCCACACAATAACGTGTACCATACTCCAGTCACAGTCCTACTGCCATCTAAAGCACGGACCTGTGTTTTATTCCTGGCTTTTATTTTGAAACACTGCAACAATAATACATTGTTGAGCAAATATGTTTTAATATTTTCAAAGCTTGGGGTCGATTAGAATTTCCCTCAGAGGGAGAATAATTCACAGTGCAATCAACCAGAGACAGACATCTCAATAATACATGGCTGAAGTAAATCCCATTATACTCTCAGCTCTGTAGCCCAATTCCATTGTTGGTATATTTGGTGGTGTTGTCTTCACTGTAAAAGGCTGAGAGTAACAGACAGAGAAAAGTCTAAGGATGTCTGAAGGTGAGCTGCCTGAACTCAGAGTTCTGATCATAGCATCTGTTTTACTGCTAAATATATGATGATTTAGGGGGTAAACTGATTTATGGGTTAACTGATTCAATTAGAGCTCCTGGTAGACTCAAAATCACTGTCCCGGTGGAGAGCCGGGCTGTGTGGCGTTTCTTTTAATTAAAGAAAAAAATCTTGGGATGGGAGTTTCTGCATTTCTCCACACGCCCCCCTGAGACTCGATGGGGGAAAAAACTAACCCATATAAAGAGTTCTTAAATTATTCACAAACACACTGCATCATAGCAAAGCCTGGCAAGGCAAGTGTGTCTGTCCATATTGTAAGCTACAACTCTACCCACATGTACATATTACTTCAACTACCTCAACTAGCCGGTGCCCCCGCACATTGACTCTGCACCGGTACCCCCCTGTATATAGCCTCCCTACTGTTATTTTATTTTACTTCTGCTCTTTTTTTCCCTCAACACTTTTTTGTTGTTGTTTTATTTTACTTTTTTTATAAAAAATAAATGCACTGTTGGTTAAGTGCTGTAAGTAAGTATTTCACTGTAATGTCTGCACCTATTGTATTCGGCACATGTGGCCAATAAAATGTGATTTGATTTGATGAAACCAATCTCCAACTATTTCAGTCTCTAAACAAAAGCCATGATGGCCATGTGATGATTTCACCAGAAGCACTGTGTAACTGCTATACCTGCTATCAGAAAAGTGCTGACTTTCCTACACTACAGTACTGCATGCATGTCAACATCACTTTCTCTGGTTTCACCATCTCAGTCTAGATTAGATACAGGACATGGAATATGCAGTACATTTAGCGTCCCCTACCAGTTAAAGGCCAGTGCAGTCCAAAAGGTGATTTTCCTGTGTTTTCTATATATACAGTCAAAAGATTTTAGAACACCTACTCATTCAAGGGTTTTTCTTTATTTTTACTATTTTCTACATTGTAGAATAATAGTGAAGACATCAGAACTATAAAATAACACATATGGAATCATGTAATAACCAAAAAAGTGTTAAACAAATCAAAATATATTTTACATTTGAGATTCTTCAACTAGCCACCCTTTACCTTGATCACAGCTTTGCACACTCTTGGCATTCTCTCAATCAGCTTCATGAGGTAGTCACCTGGAATGCATTTCAATTAACAGGTGTGCCTTCTTAAAAGTTAATTTGTGGAATTTCTTTCCTTCTTAATGCGTTTGAGCCAATCAGTTGTGTTGTGATAAGGTAAGGGGGGTATACAGAAGATAGCCCTATTTGGTAAAAGACCAAGTCCATATTATGGCAAGAACATCTCAAATAAGCAAAGAGAAACGACAGTCCATTAGTCATGAAGGTCAGTCAATCCGGAACATTTCAGTTACTTTGAAAGTTTCTTCAAGTGCAGTCGCAAAAACCATCAAGCACTATGATGAAACTGGCTCTCATGAGGACCGCCACAGGAATGGAAGACCCAGAGTTACCTCTGCTGCAGATAATAAGTTAATTAGAGTTACCAGCCTCAGAAATTGCAGCCGAAATAAATGCTTCACAGAGTTCAAGTCACAGACATGTCTCAACATCAACTGTTCAGAGTGGACTGTGAGAATCAGGCCTTCATGGTCGAATTGCTGCAAAGAAACCATTACTAAAGGACACCAATAAGAAGAAGAGACCTGCTTGGGCCAAGAAACACGAGCAATGGACATTAGACCGGTTGAAATTTGTCCTTTGGTCTGGAGTCCAAATTTGAGATTTTTGGTTCCAACCGCCATGTCTTTGTGAGACGCGGTGTGGGTGAACAGATGATCTCCGCATGTGTAGTTCCCACCGTAAAGCATGGAGGAGGAGGTGTTATGGTGTGGGGGTGCTTTGCTGGTGACACAGTCTGTGATTTATTTAGAATTCAAGGCACATTTAACCAGCATGGCTACCACAGCATTCTGCAGCGATACGCCATCCCATCTGGTTTGGGCTTAGTGGGACTATAATTTGTTTTTCAACAGGACAATGACCCAACACACTGCCAGGCTGTGTAAGGGCTATTTTTCCAAGAAGGAGAGTGATGGAGTGCTACATCAGATGACCTGGCCTCCACAATCCCCCGACCTCAACCCAATTGAGATGGTTTGGGATGAGTCGGACCGCACAGTGAAGGAAAAGCAGCCAACAAGTGCTCAGCATATGTGGGACCTCCATCAAGAATGTTGGAAAAGCATTCCAGGTGAAGCTGGTTGTGAGAATGTCAAGGGTGTGCAAAGCTGTCATCAAGGCAAAGGGTGGCTATTTGAAGAATCTGAAATATAAAATATTTTGATTTGTTTAACACTTTTTTGGTTACTACATGATTTCATAGTTTGTCTTCACTATTATTGTACAATGTAGAAAATAGTAAAAATTAAGAAAAACCCTTGAATGAGTAGATGTGTCCAAACCTTTGACTGGTACTTTATATACAGTTGAAGTTTACATACACCTTAGCCAAATACATTTAAACTCAGTTTTTCCACAATTCCTGACATTTAAATCCTAGTAAAAATTCCCTGTTTTAGGTCAGTTAGGATCACCACTTTATTTTAAGAATGTGAAATGTCAGAATAATAGTAGAGAGAATGATTGATTTCAGCTTTTATTTCTTTCATCACATTCCCAGTGGGTCAGAAGTTTACATACATTCAATTAGTATTTGGTAGCATTGCCTTTAAATTGTTTAACTTGGGTCAAATGTTTCGGGTAGCATTCCACATTCTTCCCACAATAAGTTGGGTGAATTTTGGCCCATTCCTCCTGACAGAGCTGGTGTAACTGTGTCAGGTTTGTAGGCCTCCTTGCTCGCACACGCTTTTTCAGTTCTGCCCACACATTTTCTAAAGGATTGAGTTCAGGGCTTTGTGATGGCCACTCAAATAGCTTTACTTTGTTGTCCTTAAGCCATTTTGCCACAACTTTGGAAGTATGCTTGGGGTCATTGTCCATTTGGAAGACCCATTTGCGACCAAGCTTCAACTTCCTGACTGATGTCTTGAGATGTTGCTTCAATATATCCACATAATTATCCTTCCTCATGATGCCATCTATTTTGTGAAGTGCAACAGTCCCTCCTGCAGCAAAGTACCTCCACAGCATGATGCTGCCACCCCCGTGCTTCACGGTTGCGATGGTGTTCTTCGGCTTGCAAGTTCCCCCCCTTTTCCTCCAAACATAACGATGGTCATTATGGCTAAACAGTTGTATTGTTGTTTCATTAGACCAGAGGCCATTTCTCAAAAAAGTCAGATCTTTGTCCCCATGTGCAGTTGCAAACCGTATTCTGGCTATTTTATGGCGATTTTGGAGCAGTGACTTCTTCCTTTTTTTTTGGGGGGGTGGGGTGGGGGTGGGGGGGGGGGGGTAGATCAGCTTAATATTGCAGATAGATTGTAACTTCCATCAATGTAATTGTCTGCATCACTTCCAATCCCCCATGTTTATATATATATGTTTATATATATATATATGTTTATATATCTATATATGTTTATATATATGTATATTTATAGATAATTATATATATTATATGTTATATATATATATCTCTATCTATATCTCGGTTTTATATATATAAGAATAATTATATTTTATTTGTGATTGTATATATTAAAAAATGTTTTATCTTCTCTATTCTCTCTCTATATATTTATTCTCTCCTTTTCTATCTCCGCTTATCTATATTATACTTATCATACTATATATATATATTATATATTATACATATACACACACATACATACATACATACATATACATATACACACACTCCCCTTTATTACTTTTCAACCCTGCCATCCTTTCCCTACTTGGGGTAAATTAGTGAACAACAATGCTTAGGCCTCTACTTCCAGCTTATACTTACTATCTACATTTTATGGACACAGTCAATTTTACAATAATTCTATTTTATTTGTTTTTGCTCCTGAACTTCTTCTACTCTCAACCTCTCCGATCATTTTCATGATGTCCATCCGGTTTGCTTCTATATGCCATATCTTTCTAACTGTGCTCTTTCCCAAAAGCTCCCAACATACAACCTATATACTTATTATGGACATAGTACGCTTACATTATTAGTTATCTTGTTATTATTTGTTGTTATTTGTTATTAGTCCCATCCTTCAATTCCATTCAACACCTCCCATCTATCTCTTTAACACCATCCATATAGGATTTCTATTTGCCATATATATTTCAACTGTACTGTGATGTTTTACAAAAGTTCTGAACCTTTCTATTCTCATTGCTTCTACAGATTGTGAATGAAAAATAAACATTTTCGCTAAAAGTATTATTATATTATTGATCGATTGACTATGACTTTTCAGATCACCCCGTAGTGCTATCTGCAAGGTTAGCTCCAAGTAAATATTGCAATCCTTTAGCCATTCCTGGACCTGTGTCCAAAAACAAGCTACAAATGGACAGAACCAAAACAAATGATCTAATGATTCTGTTTCTTCACAGCAAAATCTGCAGAGCTGGGAAGATTGTATCCCCCATTTAAATAACATTCTGTTGGTAGCAAGTATTTTATATAATCATTTTAATTGAAAGATTCTAATTTTTGAATCCGGTGTCGTTTTGCGTGTCAGTTCATAAACACTATGCCATGGGATCGGTACATCAAAAATCTCTTCAACTATTTTGCAATCTATATGGGACGGCTGTTAATCCTTTGGTCCTTAAATGAAACTGATATACTTTTTTATTTATCACAGTTTTCCTTAACCAATTATGTTCTTTAATGCAAGGCCGACAGACAAGTTCCTTACTTTCTCCCCCTTCCACTTTCCTCTTCCATTTTTGCGGTAAGGCTGTAATTATTTGGTTGTAATTTTGAGTAGAGCAGACATTTCCATATGTTTTTGTTAGCTGCATCACAACTCCACCAGTCCTACCGATGATATCATTTACGAAGATTATACCTTTTTTAAACATTTTGTCAAAAAATAAAGGTTTTTTGTCAATTAGTATATTTGAATTTAACCACAATATTTGTTGCATTATTTGTTCTGTCGTTTCTGGAGGATTAAATTGAAATTGCAAACAACTTTTTATGGCTTGTTTTAGAAATAGTGATATTTGGGAGATGATTTCCTTTTCAAATAACTGAAAATGAGCGGTTGTAATCTGAAGAAATCCATTCTTGAACATTGGGTGAGACAATCTTACTAATTTGCTTGAGAACCAGTTCGGATTTAAGTATCACTTTTGTATGACTGAAGCTTTTAGTGATAGGTCTAATGCTTTAATATTTAATCATTTCTGTCCTCCTAATTCATATTCATTATATAAATAGGCCCTTTTAATTTTGTCTGGCAAGTTCCAAATAAAATTGAATATTTTTTTCTCATATAATTAACAAAACTGTTCGCTAGGCGTAGGCAAGACCATAAGCAAATAGGTAAACTGGGATAATACTAAAGAGTTAATCAGGGTGATTTTTCCACAAATTGACAGGTATTTACCTTTCCATGGTAGCAAGATCTTATCTATTTTTGCTAACTTTCTATAAAAATTTATTGAAGTGAAATCATTTATTCCCTTTGGGATATGTATTCCGAGTATATCCACATCACCATCAGACCATTTTATTGGTAAACTACATGGTAATGTAAACTTTTTATTTTTTAGTGATCCAATACATAATAGTACATTTGTCATAATTTGGTTGTAATCCAGAGAGTTTAGAAAATGTATCTAGATCCTCTATGAGGCTGTGGAGGGATTCTAGTTGTGGATTTAAAAGAAAACATGAATCATCAGCGTACAATGACACCTTTGTTTTTAAGCCCTGGATGTCTAATCCTCTGATATTATTATTGGATCTGATTTTAATAGCTAACATCTCGATGGCCACAATAAATAGATATGCTGATAGTGGACAACCTTGTTTCACTCCTCTTGACAGTTTAAAACTTTGAGAAATAGCCATTATTTACTATTTTACACCTAGGGTTACTATACATGATTTTGACCCATTTTATAAAGAGATTCTCCAAAATTGAAATGCTCCAGGCATTTATATATAAACCCCAGTCGTACTTTATCAAATGCCTTTTCGAAGTCTGCTATGAATAGCAGGCCTGGTTTCCAATATTTTCCATAGTGTTCTATTGTTTCCAATACTTGCCTTATATTATCTCCAATGTATCGCCCATGTAAAAAACCTGTCTGATTAGAATGAATAATATCCGACAATACCTTTTTAATTCTATGCGCTATATATTTTGCATCACAACACTGAAGTGTAAGGGGCCTCCAATTTTTTTAATGGACTGGATCTTTATACAGTGAGGGAAAAAAGTATTTGATCCCTTGCTGATTTTGTTCATTTGCCCACTGACAAAGACATGATCAGTCTATAATTTTAATGGTAGGTTTATTTGAACAGTGAGAGACAGAATAACAACAAAAAAATACAGAAAAACACATGTCAAAAATTTTATAAATTGATTTGCATTTTAAATGAGGGAAATAAGTATTTGACCCCCTCTCAATCAGAAAGATTTCTGGCTCCCAGGTGTCTTTTATACAGGTAACGAGCTGAGATTAGGAGCACACTCTTAAAGGGAGTGCTCCTAATCTCAGCTTGTTACCTGTATAAAAGACACCTGTCCACAGAAGCAATCAATCAATCAGATTCCAAACTCTCCACCATGGCCAAGACCAAAGAGCTCTCCAATGATGTCAGGGACAAGATTGTGGACCTACACAAGGCTGGAATGGGCTACAAGACCATCGCCAAGCAGCTTGGTGAGAAGGTGACAACAGTTGGTGCGATTATTCGCAAATGGAAGAAACACAAAATAACTGTCAATCTCCCTCGGCCTGGGGCTCCATGCAAGATCTCACCTCGTGGAGTTGCAATGATCATGAGAACGGTGAGGAATCAGCCCAGAACTACACGGGATGATCTTGTCAATGATCTCAAGGCAGCTGGGACCATAGTCACCAAGAAAACAATTGGTAACACACTACGCCGTGAAGGACTGAAATCCTGCAGCGCCCGCTAGGTCCCCCTGCTCAAGAAAGCACATATACAGGCCCGTCCGAAGTTTGCCAATGAACATCTGAATGATTCAGAGGAGAACTGGGTGAAAGTGTTGTGGTCAGATGAGACCAAAATCGAGCTCTTTGGCATCAACTCAACTCGCTGTTTGGAGGAGGAGGAATGCTGCCTATGACCCCAAGAACACCATCCCCACCGTCAAACATGGAGGTGGAAACATTATGCTAAGGGAGTGTTTTTCTGCTAAGGGGACAGGACAACTTCACCGCATCAAAGGGACGATGGACGGGACCATGTACCGTCAAATCTTGGGTGAGCACATTAAGGTCCTGGAGTGGCCTAGCCAGTCTCCAGACCTTAATCCCACAGAAAATCTGTGGAGGGAGCTGAAGGTTCGAGTTGCCAAACGTCAGCCTCGAAACCTTAATGACTTGGAGAAGATCTGCAAAGAGGAGTGGGACAAAATCCCTCCTGAGATGTGTGTAAACCTGGTGGCCAACTACAAGAAACGTCTAACCTCTGTGATTGCCAACAAGGGTTTTGCCACCAAGTACTAAGTCATGTTTTGCAGAGGGGTCAAATACTTATTTCCCTCATTAAAATGCAAATAATTGTATAACATTTTTGACATGCGTTTTTCTGGATGTATTTGTTGTTATTCTGTCTCTCAATGTTCAAATAAACCTACCATTAAAATTATAGACTGATCATGTCTTTGTCAGTGGGCAAACGTACAAAATCAGCAGGGGAATCAAATACTTTATATATACACTGCTCAAAAAAATTCATGGAACACTAAATTAACACATCCTAGATCTGAATGAATGAAATAATCTTACTAAATACTTTTTTCTTTACATAGTTGAATGTGCTGACAACAAAATCACAAAAATTATCAATGGAAATCAAATGTATCAACCCATGGAGGTCTGGATTTGGAGTCACCCTCAAAATTAAAGTGGAAAACCACACTACAGGCTGATCCAACTTTGATGTAATGTCCTTAAAACAAGTCAAAATGAGGCTCAGTAGTGTGTGTGGCCTCCACGTGCCTGTATGACCTCCCTACAACGCCTGGGCATGCTCCTGATGAGGTGGCGGATGGTCTCCTGAGGGATCTCCTCCCAGACCTGGACTAAAGCATCCGCCAACTCCTGGACAGTCTGTGGTGCAACGTGGCGTTGGTGGATGGAGCGAGACATGATGTCCCAGATGTGCTCAATTGGATTCAGGTCTGGGGAACGGGCGGGCCAGTCCATAGCATCAATGCCTTCCTCTTGCAGGAACTGCTGACACACTCCAGCCACATGAGGTCTAGCATTGTCTTGCATTAGGAGGAACCCAGGGCCAACCGCACCAGCATATGGTCTCACAAGGGGTCTGAGGATCTCATCTCGGTACCTAATGGCAGTCAGGCTACCTCTGGCGAGCACATGGAGGGCTGTGCGGCCCCCCAAAGAAATGCCACCCCACACCATGACTGACCCACCGCCAAACCGGTCATGCTGGAGGATGTTGCAGGCAGCAGAACGTTCTCCACGGCGTCTCCAGACTCTGTCACGTGCTCAGTGTGAACCTGCTTTCATCTGAAGAGCACAGGGCGCCAGTGGCGAATTTGCCAGTCTTGGTGTTCTCTGGCAAATGCCAAACATCCTGCACGGTGTTGGGCTGTAAGCACAACCCCCACCTGTGGACGTCGGGCCCTCATACCACCCTCATGGAGTCTGTTTCTGACCGTTTGAGCAGACATGCACATTTGTGGCCTGCTGGAGGTCATTTTGCAGGGCTCTGGCAGTGCTCCTCCTGCTCCTCCTTCCACAAAGGCGGAGATAGCAGTCCTGCTGCTGGGTTGTTGCCCTCCTATGGCCTCCTCCACGTCTCCTGATGTACTGGCCTGTCTCCTGGTAGCGCCTCCATGCTCTGGACACTACGCTGACAGACACAGCAAACCTTCTTGCCACAGCTCGCATTGATGTGCCATCCTGGATGAGCTGCACTACCTGAGCCACTTGTGTGGGTTGTAGACTCCGTCTCATGCTACCACTAGAGTGAAAGCACCGCCAGCATTCAAAAGTGACCAAAACATCAGCCAGGGAGCATAGGAACTGAGAAGTGGTCTGTGGTCACCACCTGCAAAACCAGTCCTTTATTGGGGGTGTCTTGCTAATTGCCTATAATTTCCACCTGTTGTCTATTCCATTTGCACAACAGCATGTGAAATGTATTGTCAATCAGTGTTGCTTCCTAAGTGGACAGTTTGATTTCACAGAAGTGTGATTGACTTGGAGTTACATTGTGTTGTTTAAGTGTTCCCTTTATTTTTTTGAGCAGTGTATATATATATATATTTCTACACTATGAGGTTGGAATAACACTGAGAATGTAAAAAAAATATGCCCTTCTAGTGAAGGAGCTATTTGAAAAGACTACCTGCAATTTCAGCCTGTTTTGGTGAGATGGCGTTTTGGCCTTCTATGGTGACACCACCATGCGGTAAATTAGTTAATAGACCAATAAGAGTTCCAAACCTCTCTGCCAATAACAGCCAATTTTCAGTTTTCCCCACCCCACTCAGACAGTCCTAACTAAATTCTTGCTTGAGAAATTGCTCTTTGCTCAGAAGCTATTTTTGTTTATTTTTAACCATTTCAATAGAACAAAATCACAGTTAGGTACTTAAATTGTTACCCAGAAATTAATTGATATTGAAATTACGGCTGCATTGGACCTGTAGCCCTTTACACTCGTATCCGTATAAGGGTTGAAAATGGCAGATTTGTACACTGATAAGCGCCTACAATTGGAACACAGTGGCTGTACAATAACATGCTATACATGACGTCAGAGCTCACAGTTTCCGCTTCACAGCTCTGTATGGGTTTTGACTAACAGCCGTTCTGAACTTGAGCAGGTTGCCTCCATCCCTCAAGCTAAATTGGGCAATTTTTGCAAATGTTTTCTTGTCTCAGTGAGGGAAATGCTATAAATTACGAGGACTCTATGTATTTAGAAAAACGAGACGTTGAGGATTATAATAAATATTGCTTTGATGTCATACAAGCAAGCCAAACACCTGTGAGTCCAAATGTGCACTTCACATTTCCATATAATAAAACTCACGTAATATACAGTGTCAACATTTATGATCACTATGTTTGATGTACAGTTACAAGATTACATGGCGTTATACCGTGTGTTTGCCTGAACAGATTGAGCCTGTTTGTTGTATTGTGAAGAACATTTGCCGCGTACCTTGCATCTGAATGCACTGATGACTCCATTCTATGTGCACCAAAATTACAATCTCCTTCTCTGAATTACCTAGTGAAAGCCTAACAATAAGATCGTGTTTTATAATTTAGCTAGTCATGTTGGCAATAGAACAAGCTTTCAAATTATGCCCACATGACCCAGATTGCGATTTATAATGGATTGTTTTTGGATTGCGTAAACAACAGTAATTGCGTAAAGGCGGGGATACAAGGCTGTGTTCCTCCACGGCACAATTCAGATTCAGCTTAAAAAACACCTTATAGTTGAACACTCTTCTTTGAGTCATAAAAGTGCATTGAAATGACTTAGGAACTGTGCACACTTTGGAAAGGTGTGTGGTCACTTGGAGACACCAGTTAGTCATCTCATTCAAACCCTTGTCATTTGTCTTGTGTTGCACCTACCCCAAATTATGTTACTGAATGTATCCAGAGTATTTTCAGATTTCGTTTGGATTCACTCGTGTCAGGTGAACTGTTGTGTCCTCAACTTTAGTCTAAATATTTTCCCATTATCCCCAAACTGTTCCCTTTTAATTGCTACCATGTTTATGTGTATGCTTTCCATATTTCTTATGCAAGAAATATTTCAAAATATCTCATCTCCATCTTGCTAGCTACTATTTTGTATTTTATTCAAGTGGATAAAGTAGTGACGTAGTTCCTCTATGCCAAAAGAGTCCATAATTGAAACCAGACCCTTGTCACTGTGTTGAGACTAACCAGTTAACATCATGTAAATTAATATGTAGGTCTAGCTGCAGTGGGAGTTGTAACGGCACTATCTCCATGGTAACGGAGTACGCCACGCCTGCCATCATCTCTCTCTCCATCTCAGAGAAAGACATGGCTCTCGCCTATCTCATACAACCAGCAGTGCTCATATTCCTGCCACATTACAATATTGATGTAACATTTCAAGAGCGTCTTGCGCTTCTTTGAAGTTATCTTCAGGAGGGGAAGGGAGTGAGGAAAATTCCAAATGAAACATTAAGGATGCGAGCATCTTGGCCATGCATTTGGAATGGGATCCATACAGCAATAGATGGTTTGTATTTAGTGGAGCAGCTCCCAGGAGAGTCAACATCAGAGGATTACAGCAAAACATGAAATTAAGCATTCAGTCCCCCATCCTCTACAGTTCATAGCTCGGCATAGCTCTTCAAGCCTCTGTGTGTGTGTGTGTGTGTGTGTGTGTGTGTGTGTGTGTGGAGTGTGTGTGTGTGCTCCAGACAAAGCGGGGATTACATATGTTTAGACCAATTCACATACCAGGATACACTAAATATAGGCCCACATGGTCCAAACATGTGAGAAACTAAACTCAGTAGGGGATACTAGTAATACAAGTGAGAGTGCAAGAGATGTGAGCGATTGTGTGGTAAAACAGGCTGGTATGGGAGCTGGTGGTGTGTCTTAGCAGGAGTCCCTGCCAGCCTGAGAGGAGAGGACAGGAGGTGCTGTGAGGCAGGTGTTGTATACATCATTGTGGCCTCCCTTTCCTCTCCTCCTATGTGCTGAGGCACTTTTAGGGAGTTACTAGAAATGCCCTGACTATGGCCTTATTTTGGCCTATTCTCACAAGGCCAATGGCTTTTTACCACGTCTTCAACTTAGTCTGCCCTGCCAGTCTAAAAAAATTACTCATTATTTACAATTTTGTGGGGGGGGGGGGGGGGGGGGGGGCGTTCATAATAGATTGAGAGCATTCCATGCATTTCTAAACTGTCAGAGCACTGGCAGACGTTCAAAGCTAACATTTTTCTATAGCAGATAGCATGAGACACTCTTGCAAGAAGTTCTCAATATTATGTTTAGACTGCTACATCAACCTGTGGACACCAGCTGTTTATTCCCACTCCATTTACTGTCATCTCTGTATCTTGGGTTTGAATAAAAACAGTTTTCTTACCTTTCCTGGGTCATCTTTGGAGCGAGGCACTTTGAGAAAACACTTGTTCAATGACAGATTGTGCCGTATTGAGTTCTAGAGAGAGAGACAGAGAGAGAGAGAGAGAGAGAGAGAAAGAGAGAGAAGAGAGAGAGAGAGAGAGAGAGAGAGAGAGAGAGAGAGAGAGAGTCGGGGTTAGAGCTTAGGGATCAAAAACCACATTAGAGGAAGAGGTCTCGTGTCTTTGAGAAGAGAGCAGGTCATAGCCACAGAGGCCGTGCCATTGTGACAAAGTGAAAAGGGAAGCTTGGTAGGATGCTACACGGTCATCCTTTGTGTATTGTCATATTTCCTGCAGTCAAGATCAACTTGTTTTAATTACACCCTGAGGAATGAATTTGCTAAATCTGTGACTAGACACACTGATAGTCACTGGATCTTTGCCTTGGACCTGGCCAAAGCCACTAGGAAGACATAGGGTCTAATCTACTTGGTAACAACACTCTGGACACTACAGCAGCCAGGCTTCTTCTACTTCTCAAATTACATGGGCGCCAAAATCATGCCACTTGAATTAACCCCTCTCTGGGATGATGCCTGATATTAATTAATGCTACACAAGGCTCCTTCGGGGGAAGGAAATACATTATGTAGATCATTCTGAAAGTTAACTCATTAGTGTTGGCTAGTCCTCACCATCAGAGGAGAGAGGCTGATTTATCTGGCTGATCAGGGGCTTGAAGCAGCAATGATGATGGCTGTAGAGTGGAGTGGTGCTCTTGGATTAATAACACAGCCAGGATAGAGCCAGCCAGCCAGGCAGGCAGGCAGGGCCCTGGAATCAGCTGGAGCTGGGCCAGCCATGGGCTTAGCGGACTCACTGAATGCACGTCTCCACTCCATTTTATGGAGTAGTATTGATAGATAGCTTCACTAAAAAGCTTTGGGATCCTCAGATGAGTTGGACGTAGGTTGGGCAGATGTGAGAGGAGTACACAGCCCACAAGATGGAGCTAGTTGTAACATCAGTATAGAGAAAGTAGGCCTGCACCTCAGGAAGACAGGAAAATGTTTTAGCCTCGCTACTGTTATTTTACTGCTGCTCTTTAATAAAACATTTTACTTATCTATTTTTTACTTAATACTTATTTTTCTTAAAACTGCATTGTTGGTTAAGGGCTTGTAAGTAAGCATTTCACTGTAAGGTCTACACATCATGTATTCGGCGCATGCGATTTGAAAATGACAGTCGTTATCGAGAGGTAAAATCCTCTGAAAACCCAATGGAAAAAATATCAAAATACACCAAACTTACACAACCTAATGCAACAAAAAGTGTCTGAGATGTTACAGCAGGACAGATCCATCATGATGCTCATTATAGAAAACTAAAATATATTACAAAAACAAACAATACACACTCGTCAATCAATAAAGAGGCTAATCAAACCCCAATATCTGGTAAGTATACTAGTAAGTATTTTTTAAACCTCCCGCGTTGGGCTCGATGTGCCATTGTGTAGTTCTTACATGCAATCTATGAGCAGAATTACTGTCTTACCTCAATTAGCCACGACATATGAATTAATGCTACAGAGGGTAGAGCGTACGGCCCAGTACATCACTGGGGCCAAGCTTCCTGCCATCCAAGACCTCTATACCAGGCGGCGTCAGAGGAAGGCCCTAAAAATTGCCAAAGACTCCAGCCACCCTAGTCATAGACTTATCCCTGCTACCGCACGGCAAGGGGTACTGGAACGCAAAGTCTAGGTCCAAAAGGCTTCTTAACAGCTTCTACCCCCAAGCCATAAGACTACTGAACAGCTAATCAAATGGCTACCCGGACGATTTGCATGGACTCCCCCCACCCAATTTTTATACCCTGCTGCTTCCCGCTGTTTATTATCTATACAGTCACTTTCCCCCTACCTACATGTACATATTACCGCAACTAACCTGTACCCCCGCACATTGACTCGGTACCGGTACCCCCTGTATATAGCCTCGTTATTGTTACTCTTTTTTTTACTTTAGTTTATTTAGTAAATCTTTTAACTATTATTTTTCTTAAAACTGCATTGTTGGTTAAGGGCTTGTACGTAAGCATTTCATGGTAAGGTCTACACCTGTTGTATTCGGCGCATGTGACAAATGAAAATTTGATTTGAAATCCCTAGTTTGAAAGCAACTGTTTTCTGGAAGCCGTATGGCGCCATTTTCCCTAAATTGTCCCCCACGTGGACCAGCCCCCTAGCAATTAGTGTTTCAGCCAATGAGCTTCAGCCCCTCGCCATTTGAGTGACATCTAGCAAGATGCACACACAGCAGAGCGAGAGAGAAATTACGTGGTTCACAGATCTGCACGTGTGATGTAGCACGTCATTTTCAGGGAACAGTTTTGGCTCGTGAGTGCTACTTTTAGAACTACTGACTAAAAAGTATACAAAAGTCCCGGAGAATCTCTTTAAGACCCAAGTAAAACCACCCACCTTCCAGACTCAGATGTCAAGGAGTGGGAGTGGGAGTGGGAGTGGGAGTGGGAGTGTGTGTGTGTGTGTCATGCACTTGATGCCACAAGGAGAGAGGGAAGTAGTGCCAGTGACTGTATACAGCGCATTTGGAAAGTATTCAGACCCCTTGACATTTTGTGACGTTACAGCCTTATTCTAAAATGGATTAAATTGTTTAGTTTTTTTCTCATCAATCTACACACTATTCCCCATAATGACAAAGCAAAAACAGGTTTTTATATTTAAATTTTAGCAAAAAAAATTAAATAAGAATAATAATTAAATATTACATTTACATAAGTATTCAGACCCTTTACTCAGTACTTTGTTGAAGCACCTTTGGCAGCGATTACAGCCTCGACTCTTCTTGGGTATGATGCTACACCTGTATTACGGGAGTTTCTCCCATTTTTCTCTGCAGTTCCTCTCAAGCTCGGACAGGTTGGATGGGGAGCGTCGCTGCACAGCTATTTTCTGGTCTCTCCGGAGATAATAGATCGGGGACAAGCCGGGCTCTGGCTGAGCCACTCTACGACATTCAGAGACTTGTCCCGAAGCCACTCCTGCGTTGTCTTGGCTGTGTGCTAAGGGTCGTTGTTCTGTTGGAAGGTGAACCTTCGCCTCAGTCTGAGGTCGTGAGCGCTCTGGAGCAGGTTTTCATCAAGGATCTCTCTGTACTTTGCTCCGTTCATCTTTCCCTCAATCCTGACTTGTCTCCCAGTCCCCACAGCATGATGCTGCCACCACCACGCTTCACTGTAGGAATGGTGACTGGTTTCCTCCAGACGTGACCCTTGGCATTCAGGCCAAAGAGTTCAATCTTGGTTTCATCAGACCAGAGAATCTTGTTTCTCATGGTCTGAGAGTCTTTAGGTGCCTTTTGGCAAACTCCAAGTGGGCTGTCATGTGCATTTTACTGAGGAGTGGCTTCCATCTGGCCACTCTACCATAAAGGCCTGATTGGTGGAGTGCTGCAGAGATGGTTGTCCTTCTGGAAGGTTCTCTCATCTCCATAGAGGAACTCTGGAGCTCTGTCAGAATGACCATCGGGCTCTTGGTTACCTCCCTGACCAAGGCCCTTCTCCCCCAATTGCTCAGTTTGGCCGGGCGACCAGCTCTGGCAAGAGTCTTGGTGGTTCCAAACTTCTTCCATTTAAGAATTATGGAGGCCACTGTGTTCTTGGGGCCCTTCAATATTGCCGAGATTTTTTGGTACCCTTCCCCAGATCTGTGCCGACACAACCCTGTCTCGGAGCTCTACAGAAAATGGCTTGGTTTTTGCTCTGAAATGCACTGTCAAATGTGGGACCTTATATATAGACAGGTGTATGCCTTTCCAAATCATGTTCAATCAATTGAATTTACCACAGGTGGACTCCAATCAAGTTGTAGAAATGTCTCAAGGATGATCAATGGAAACAGGATGCACCTGAGCTCAATTTCATAGCAAAGGGTCTGAATACTTTATAAAACAAAATTTATAAAAACCTGTTTTCACTTTGTCATTGTGGGGTATTGTGTGTAGATTGATGAGTAAAATATAAAGTTAATCTATTTTAGAATAAGGCTGTAACGTAACCAAATGTGGAAAAAGTCAAGGGGACTGAATATTGTATATGAATTGACAAAGTCATCGATCACATAACACCATTTATTTCTGTGTGCACGATTTTAAAATAAAATCGGTTGAAGGACATACAGTACCAGTCAAAAGTTTGGACACACCAACTCATTCGAGTTTCTTTATTTTTACTATTTTCTACATTGTAGAATAATAGTGAAGACATCAAAACTATGAAATAACACATGGAATCGTGTAGTAACGAAAAAAGTGTTAAACAAATCAAAGTATATTTTATATTTGAGATTCTTCAAAGTAGCCACACTTTGCCTTGACAGCTTTGCACACCCTTGGCATTCTCTCAACCAGCATCATGAGGTAGTCACCTGGAATCCATTTCAATTAACAGGTGTGCCTTCTTAAAAGTTAATTTGTGGAATTTATTTCCTTCTTAATGCATTTGAGCCAATCAGTTGTGTTGTGACAAGGTAGGTGGGTATACAGAAGATATCCCTATTTTGTAAGAGACCAAGTCCATATTATAGCAAGAACAGCTCAAATAAGCAAAGAGAAACGACAGTCAATCATTACTTTAAGACATGAAGGTCAATCATTACTTTAAGACATGAAGGTCAGTCAATCAGGAACATTTCAGTTACTTTGAAAGTTTCTTCAAGTGCAGTCGCAAAAACCATCACGCGCTACGATGAAACTGGCTCTCATAAGGACAGCCACAGGAAAAGAAGACCCAGAGTTACCTCTGCTGCAGACGATAAATTAATTAGAGTTAACTGCACCTCAGATTGCAGCCCAAATAAATGCTTCACAGAGTTCAAGTAATAGACACATCTCAACATCAACTGTTCAGAGGAGACTGTGTGAATCAGACCTTCATGGTCAAATTGCTGCAAAGAAACCAATACTAAAAGGACACCAATATGAAGACTTGCTTGGGCCAAGAAACACGAGCAATGGACATTAGACCGGTTGAAATTTGTCCTTTGGTCTGGAGTCCAAATCCAACCGCCGTGTCTTTGTGAGAGGCAGAGTAGGTGAACGGATGATCTCCACGTGTGGTTCCCACCGTGAAGCATGGAGGAGGTGGTGTGACGGTGTAGGGGTGCTTTGCTGGTGACACTGTCTGTGATTTATTTAGAATTCAAGGCACACTTAACCAGCATGGCTACCACAGCATTCTGCAGCAATACGCCATTTTTTACGTTACATTTACGTCATTTAGCAGACGCTCTTATCCAGAGCGACTTACAAATTGGTGCATTCACCTTATAGCCAGTGGGATAACCACTTTACAATGTTTTTGTTTTCTTTCTTTGGGGTGGGGTAAGGGGGGGAACACAACTGATTGGTTCCAACGCATTAATAAGGAAATAAATTCCACAAATTAACTTTTAACAAGGCACACCTGTTAATTGTTATGGGACAAGATACAAAAATACTACAATGCAGAGATACACAACAATAATCAGGTTAACACTGAGCTTATCAACATCACAACTTTATCTGATGAAATATTAACGTGCATGCCCTTTTATGTGAGTGTCTGTGTGTTCGTGCATTTGTACTATATGTGTGTAAATGTATGCGCACGTGTGAACACACACACACACACACACACACTATATATACACAAAAGTACAGTACCAGTCAAAACCATCCCATCTGGTTTGAGCTTAGTGGGACTAGCATCTGTTTTTTAACAGGACAACGACCCAAAACACACCTCCAGGCTGTGTAAGGGCTATTTGACCAAGGAGAGTGATGGAGTGCTGCATCAGATGACCTGGCCTCCACAATCAACCGACCTCAACCCA